ATATTGCATGCGATAAATATTAACATCAGTGAGAATGGCATAAGTAAAAGAATTTCCAAAAGATTTAAGAGGCAAAGTGATTGAATTATTTTAGAAGTAGTGTCAGAAATGTTGACGCTTCTCAAAGATTAAAAATGAAAAAAGGCACGATTTCGAAATTTATTAGTAAATATCAAGAATACAACAACTCGCCCAGGTGCGGAAGATCGAAAAAAAACCGGTTATGTTTTGGATGGCTACATTACACGTTTGTCCCATGACGATCCTCGAATGCCAGCCGAATAGATTTTCAACAGAATCGTAGAAGAGGGTGCCGATAATCTTTTTGTCAGAACAGTATAGAGACGCTTGGTGGATTCTGAGCTTTTTGGTAGGCATCCAGTGCAAAAGCCCCTCATTAAAAAAATCGTATTGCGCGGCTTGAATTTGCTAAAGCTCATCTAACGAACAGAAAAACAATGGAATACAGATTTATGAAGCGATGAAAGCAAATTTAACTTGTTTGGATCTGACGGTACGGCATATGTGAGACGTCCAATACGAAAAAGATTCTACAAAAAGTATCAGATGCCAACAGTTAAGCACGTTGAAGGCAATATCATGGTGTGGGTCTGTTTATCTAGTTCTCAAAGGGATCCAATTGTTAAAATTGTTGGGAAAATGGATCAAAAACTTTACAAAGACATTCTTAATATATAAATAAACGCCTTTACGATGGACACTTCAGCAAGATAATGACCCCAAGCATACCTAAAAATTCGTAAATTACTGTTTAACACTAAAAAATGTTAATGTTCATACATGGCCTGCGCTATCCCCGGACCTAAACCCTATAGAACATCTCTGGAAGCATGTTAAAACACAACTGGCAAGAAAAACTTTTAAAAATAGGAACGATTTATTTGATTATGGAAAAAATATTTGGCAAAATATCTCAACAGACGTTTGTAAAAAATTGGTGTTCTCTATGTCTAAGGCTATGCTATCAAATATTAGCTATACAGATTTTTTTAAACTTTTTGTACAGTTATTCTATTTGATTTTGTAATAAAAGATATGTATCCATACTTTCGTCGACTCATTTTTTTTTTCATAAGATAGTATGAAGGTATTTTATGCTAGTCTGTAGTACAACAGCAAACACAAATTGTCATTTGCATCCTCAAGACTGTAGACAAACTACATACTATATGATAAAAAATATTCCTTAATAATAAAGAATAAAAAATTACAAAGAATGTTTCCAAACCTTTGTCCGCTACTGTATGAGGAATAGTGGCGGCCTAAGGTACGCCTGAGTGAATAAGAGCCTTCGCACACAACGTCGTACCATAAGCGTATCGTAATACGCGCGTAGGACGAGAGAATAACGAGCTCGTATCAGGGGCGTAGCTATCCTAGGGCAAACCGGGGCAGTGCCCCGGCTTATAGGGGGCCCGGCCATGCGCCTCAAAAAAATTGTTTTTAAGCGCCGATCAGCAATAAATTCATTAAGTGCTAATATAACCTAGGTACACCAAAAAGAAAAATAAATAATAAATATAATGATAAATTTCAATTTCCCATTTGATTAACATGAGAAAAAAATTGTTTTCAACTTTTTAATTTTTTTCTCATTACTAAATTATCATATGGATGAGTTCATAGCTTACTCTTGTAGGGAATTGAATGCTGTACAAAAAAGGTTTCCTACAATTTTCCGATAAACCTACTCGTTCAAAAGTTTTTCGAGGGAAATTGAAATTTGCGATGCGGTACCACTTAATATTAAGAGCTGTTACTTTTACAGGATTTTTTTTCGTCATTTCTAACAATATTTTCGACGCACTTGAGAGAGAAAAATAGACGATGTTTTTGAAACAGTCTAATTGATACACAACTATCGAACTATTTAATGCATTTAAAAATGGTTGTGTATTCTTCTCTTTGCAGGATTAGCCGATTGCGGAACAAAACGCTAAAGAAATAAAAATGGAAGATAAGCGGAAATATCAGTCTGGAGCACAGAAACGAAAATTGAAATTAGAAAACGAGGAAAAATTAAAAAAGCATGCTAAAATAGAAACATTTTTTAAAGCCACTCAATCTTCTGAAAAAGAACAAGTAACTATCAATATTTCTGAGACACGTGAAACAACTTTTATTTCTTGTTCTACCTCTAAAGAACTCTTGCCTTGTATTAACACTTTTACTTTTGATAAAGTTGTTAGCAATGCCATGTTGACTACACCAGGTTATATTATAGCAACATTACTGTATGTAGCGATTTTTGATTTTACATGGGAAAAACTCTTACTGATGAAGTTAAAAAGGTTATTATTAGTTTTGAACCCAACAGACCTAAAGGTCCATTTTCCAAGGATTCGTACCAAAATGATCGCAGTTTTAGTGATTGTTATTATTTTTGTACTACAAAATACGGCCCTGTCAATCGTCTTTGGCTGTACTATTCAACTGTACTAGATGCAGCCTATTGTGAATCTTGTTGGCTTTTATCAAAATTGTGCAGTCACTGGAGTACGGGCTTAAGAGATTGGAAACATTTATCATCACGCATTGAAGCACAGTAAAAGCAAAGCTCATATTGAAGCTTGCTACCTTTGGAGAAAAAATCGTGCCATTGACAAGAACCTAGAAGATGAGGTCAGATTTCAAGCATCCTTCTGGAAAATGGTGTTGCAAAGATTATTTAAAATTACATTACTTCTGGCAAAATGTTCCTTGTCATTTCGGGGGCACCGTGAACGTCAAGATGATTTTAGTGGGAATTTTATGGCTCAAGTGCAATTTTTCTGACTATGACGATGTTATCCAACAGGTGGTGGAAATGCCTTCTGGATCTGTGCGATATCTTAGCCCAACTATTCAAAATGAATTGATAGATTGCCTTTCAAAAATACTTACTTTTGAATTAACAAAACAAATAAATTCCGAAACATTTTTTCTTTGCTTCTTGATACAACTCAAGATATCACAAAGATAGATCAATTAAGTATAGTCATTCGAACGTGTCACATAATTCGAGATAAAAATCTGCTATCTCAAAAGTTTGAAATCAAAGAAACTTTTTTGGGTTTTTTCCAGTTAAAAGATCATTCTGCTGGAGGAATAACTCAGGAAGTTTTAAATATACTAAAAAATCTAGATATTCCCATTGAAAAATGTTATGGGCAAGGATACGGTGGAGCCAGTGTAATGAGTGGGGCTTATAATGGAGTAAATGCTCAAATAAAAAGAGTTCAACAAAATGCCGAATATGTACATTGTGCAAGTCACAACTTAAATTTAGTAATAAATGATGCAGTAAATTGTTGTAAAGAGGTCTCGCAATATTTTGCCGCTTTGTAAAATATATATCCTTTTTTGGTTTAAGTATTAATAGATGGGATCTTTTAGCTTCTTTTACCAGTGAATCCAAAAGAACTTTAAAAACATTAAATCCAACTCGTTGGTCAGGAAGGATATTGTCTATTAGTGCTGCCAAACTTCGTTATCTTGATATTACTAAATCTTTAACAGAAATAGAGTTACAGTCTCATAAAAAAGAAGAAAGAGAAGAAGCTTCTTCAATTAAAAAACAAATGTGTTGCTTTGAATTTGTATTTATTTCAACAATGTTGTATAAAATCTTTACCCAGGTTAACTTCGCCTCAAAGGTCCCTCAAAAGAAAAATATTGATTTAAGTGAATCTGTGACTGTTTTAGAACAAGTAGAATAGAACCTTACTCAATTAAGATTTGACGAACTCTTAAGTGATTACAGATTTAATAATACTCAAATTTTATTTAAAATAAGGAGCATGAAAAAAATTAATAAATTGTTTGATTTACTTCTTCCAAAAATTATATTAAGTTGCGATGAAACATCCATTAAAAATAAATGTACAGCCATTTATAACAAATATCCTGAAATATTTGATTTAAATAATTTAATATTTCAGTATACCAATTTGTTAAATCTTTGTAAAACAGACCTTAAGAATGAACTATCAATTAAGGAATATTTCAATATAATTTTAAGTGAGTATGGAGTACTTGAAAGCGACTTAAGTGAAGTTTACTTAATGTTCCCTTTATATTTTACGTTGCCTGTAACTACTGCAACTGTTGAAAGATCATTTAACAAGCTAAAACTTATAAAAAACTATCTTAGGTCTACTACAGGCCGGATTAGATTAAGCGATCTTGCTTTGCTCTCTATAGAGAATGAAGAATCCCAAAACCTTGATATAAATGATATTATCAACGAATTTGCAAATAGAAAAGCAAGATAAAGGGATTTTTAATTTTATTATTGTTTAATTTGTGACTTTTGTTATTTCATTATTTTAGTTTGTGTTAGTTTTTGTTTTTATGACAATAAACAATTTTTTTATTATAACATGATATTTTTTATTCTTAAACATACTCATGAGGGCCCCCAAAAAACGTTTGCCCCGGGGCCCCATGACGTCTTCTAGCTACGCCACTGGCTCGTATGTGTGCTAACAAGTCCGGACATGAAGCGGCGTATGAGATGTTCAGTCGTATTACGATAGTCGTACCGATATGTCGTAAGGCAGGCGTAGAAGCAAGCGTAAAATTTAAAAAGTGTTGTTTAATTGCTCTCGATATGGCTGAAATGTCTCATTCGTCATTCGATAAAAGGTTAGGAATTTAAATATTTTCTTCTTGTTACTTGCGATGTATGGATGGATCCAATGAGCACGTGGCTTTCTGCTTTTAACATAATAAAACGATAAAGAATCCTTTTCATCTGAAGAAAATGTAAGATCATCAAAGGATACGCCAGAAACACCCGGTACCGTTGACGCCATGATTTCAACCGAGATCTTAAAAAGCGATACGAATACGTGACGATGCGTGTGTGGAACACTGCAGGTCTCGTAAGCGTTGCGTCGCACAGTGTGTTCCTTTATAGGGATCAGGGATAAAATTCGATATCTTAAAAACTAGTGGTCCTATTTGAATTCTGTAAACGCAGGGCGGTATGACAAAAATTATTTAAAATAATAAGAAGGGGTGGGGGAGCAGGCGGGATTATGTACCGTGTTTGGCATATTGTACCACTTATAAAGGTGGATATACAAATTTCTTGCTTCTTCCAGCAATGACGCAAACTTTTCCATATCAATAGCGCAACCACTAGCTAACACTCCTAAGATGATCGCAATTTTCTCGATTAATTCCCTGTCAACCCCTGTGATATCTGAACTTGTTTGTGGATTGTGGAAAAAGATTCTGGCCGTATTGCCATCATTTGAGGAGCCATACCCGGGTTTTGGTTTGTCAACTATTAGAGACAGCTTGGCTCTGAACTCTGCTTGGATTCGTTTTTTGTTTGCTTCGACTATAGCTTTGTTTTCAGGCACACGAACCTGCCAAGATTTAATTGGCAGGCGGTATCCAATATGGAGTAAGTATTCAAAAAAACGAATCCAGCAGTGTAAAGTTGACAAACCAAACCGGTAATTGTCTACGTTAGGAGGACGGTTAATCCCTGCTAACGTGTTCATGTCCTTGGGTGTGGCTCCGCAAATGATGCACTTCATAGTTGAATTTGTCTCTGATAGAACGTTTCCAACACTGCCGTCCAACATTGTCAACATCATATCAACTTCAATTATATAATAGTGCCCTTCTTTTGTTTCAATCTCAAGAGGAATCAAATTTTCAAATTTTCAATTTTTGTTATTATTTCCTTTTCCGTATTCCACACTAAATCAGCATTTTCCTTTTTAAATAAAAACTTGATCGACCTACAATATAAAGTAGATGAAGGGCTCTCATTTTTCCACAATACCGTATTCGTTTCCATATCAATCAATCTGAGTGGCGTCATTGCTACAAGAAACAGAAATTCGTCGGTGTTTTCTAAATCAGAAAATTTCTGCTTATATTGGCTATGCCCAGAACTGCCATCAAATCCCCACTTGCATATCACTTTAATCCGGCAATCTCTCTCTTCAAAATTTATTATTTCAAGGATACTTTCAGCTTTTCTGTAGAAGTTCTTGCAAATCAACTTCTGCAGAAATTTCAGTAATAATAAATTGTGAAGGGAGGATAGCATTTTTTGTTTTCTGTAATTCTTTATAACTAGCAAGGCCTTACCATTAATAACAGACCTAAGTAGCAAATACTTTCTTACGGATATATCCAAATCTACCATAAGGTCTAAAGCTTCAGCTGTACTAAAACTAAAAATTTGTGGCGAGACCTCACTGTGATTGCTTCCAGAAACGACATTTACAGCAAAATGAAGTTCATTTACAGATCTGTCTGTGGTTAGTTCGGCTACACGTCTTCGTTTTGTTTTCTTCGATGCCTCTTCAAATGGCACCCGTGGCCGTCCAACTGAGGACAATGAGGTTCTTGTTCCTCATCCGAAGATGTGTTTTCTTCAGAATCATTATTTATTCTATACTTCGAAGTTGAGTCATTTATTTTAACAGTGAGTAGATCTGATCAAAATAAATGTTTTTTTCCTTTACCATTTTTCTGGTAAAATTAAAGTAACAAAGTTATAGCCCTTTGGAAGTTTGAGTACCGCCCTGTCTCAATAATAATATTATGTGCTCGTGTTTGGCGACAACGGATATAATTCGCCTTATCGGTTCATCGCATCGGAAACAAAAAAGCGAAAGAATTTGGAACGATGTTTTTACAATTATTTCATTCAGTTGTATACAGTCAGTGTCAGTCGGTAGTGGATAGTGGTGTCTGTTGCGTGGCTCAAACGAAATAAAAAATGGCACATTTTTATGCGGATCGGTTTCCCAGTCGAGTGCAACCAACCCCTCGTGCCTTTGTTAATGTAGTGCAACGGGTTCGTGAATCATTTGACTTAAGACCTCACATATGGACGGCATGCCGGTGCTCCAAGACCTCACGATCAAATACAGGTCCGCACTGAAATACTTGTCGGGAGGATACTTTATAAAACAAGGTAAATTTTTTTTTTAATTTCTTCTTTATTTTTACACACATATTTTGGTTTATCTTCCTTTTACAATTATTATCTGAAAATTAATGACTCAACTTCAAAATAATCTTGTCTAACCAATATACCTGATTTTGTAAGTCGATTCCGAGATTGTCCTACTTTATGCCATTTATTTGCCATTTTCAACCCAAACAACTGGCTGCATTTCATAATATAACTTTTAAGATGTTTGGAAGGTTCATCTGTTATATCAACAAGAGATAATATCTTTTCATAAAGCACCTGTTTTCTATTTCCTCTCGGTGCTTCTATCCACACATCAATCAAATCTCTATTTCTGACAATAGCACCATGCCTAAACAAAATTATATCTCCCTTAGACGTGGCATGACGTGATTTAAACTTTTTATCAAAACTTACTATGGACATATAAACAATAAATAAAAATATTTTTAGGGTGATGCGAGGTGATTTTTGTAAAACTCTAAACAAAGTCAAAAGTTTAAAAAAAATTAAAAAAATCGGTAATAGTCACTTTAACTTAAAAAATTATCTAATTATAATTATATTTTAAATAAATCTATACATCAATATAAGGTACATACCAGCCTCATTACCAGCCATATTGGAAAAGTTATAATATTTAAATATTTCGACACAAAATTTATATCTTCCCCGAGCAATAAAACATAGAGATTTTTCGCCTTCTTGACAGGTCTCGACATGTCTAACTTTAAAGTTGCTAAAATAGGTAAATCGCAGCCAACTTGATTAAAGTACCATACTTATGTGTTGCAGTGACTATTTATCTATCCAATGGTATAATAAAAGCAACAGAATTCTAATGTCAAAAATTATGTTTTTGAGTAATTTTGTCCATTGGGCGCCACACTGTGCGTCGTAACGATACGCGTACGAAACGACTACGCTTACGATGCGAGTGCGAAGACCCTTATTGTCACTAGAGACGTTTCTTGGTTGACAAAAACACACTGAGTTCTTTGATGAAGGTAACTGTCGAAAACTTACCGCGACACTTGAGAAATTTCAAAATTGGGGATGAGTTCGCGCATAAAACCATACCTGTAACCTCTCTCAGGTACAGAGCTAGTACGTTATTCAATGCTTTTTAGAGCAATAATCTGTGCATAAGACCCATGACGAAAAAGTCTACTGGAAAACTCAGTATTGTGATGTGCGAAAAAATGTGTTGTTCGCCCATCTCGGTATCGGTTCATTACGATGAAAGGGCTCAAAAGGGCTATATTTAGGTCGCTCGTTCCACATTCATTCCTCCCATCGCATCGGTGTTAACAGCAAGCCTCTTCAATACTTTTAAAACAGGAGGAAGACAGAGGATAGAGAGCGCTTGCAATGGAACATCTCCCGGCTGAAGCTTTTCAGAATTCTCATTCATCGGCCGTATGCCGGGTACACTCTATACAACCGCCCCCGGCCTCATTGAAACGCATTCGTGCTTTGGTTTCAGCCTTAATGACGTTGTGCGGGGCATTACAAGAAAATGTCTACTGTACTATGCGCTGTAATTTACCTCAAAGAGCGTGGATTCGTTCTGTTGTCTGAAGTGTTTGAGAGATAGCTACAGTGTGGACATTAGCGACATAAACATACAATCAGTCGATAATTTCAAATCTTTAGAGGTACTCATAGATAACCATCTACCGTATCGGAGAACATCTACACATGGTATATCATGCCATTGTTCAATCGCTACTAGCTTATGGAACCTTAGCTGTTCGACTGCCGGCAAATATATTTTCATCATTCAATAATTCATTTAACAAAAAATCCAAAATTGTTACTTTCTAGTTACCACAATCATCAAGTGCCATACAAACAAAAATCTGCACTTATTCTCAGACTAAATAAAACCTTCAACCAAACAACATTCTGCTTTCTATACTCAAAAATTCATGCCATTACTGCAAACTTACCATATGTACTAAGTGACATATAAATCCGAACACCCAGTTTAAATGGTTTTATTTTAATAAAATTTTGTATAAGTACTTAATGAAGCATAATAAGTAAATGATAAAAATTTCAAAATGATTGCACTGCTTTAAAGCTCTTTGACCTTTAATAATGTGTGGATGCACCCTGATGTGCTACGCATTCTCCAACGCGCCTAGGCATGCTTCTGATCAGGTGGTCAATGTCCTCCTGTGGTATCTCATTCGAGGCAACCACCAACTCCTCTCGAAGTGCTTCTAGAGTCTGAGGAGGACATTGCAAATTGAGCAATCTCCTACCCATCATATCCCACACGTGCTCAATTGGGGATAAGTCGGGAGATCTTGGTGGCCATGGTAACAATGTGACATCATTATGTTGAAAGAAGTCTATTGTGACTCTTGCAATATGTGGTCGGGCATTATCTTGTTGGAAAGTTGGATCTGCCAAGGTGTCAAGATAGGGTAAAAGATGGGGTTCTAGAACTTCGTGGATATAACGGTGCGCGTTCATGTTACCTCTGATGAAGATTAAAGGTGACCTGGAACCATAAGCTATAGCACCCCAAACCATAACTCCAACAGTGTGATGAACATGTCTTTCAACAAAAAACTGTGGATTCCTCCTTTCACCACGTCGCCTTCTAACCCTGGCACGACCATCGTGCATGCCCAAACAAAATCGAGACTCGTCACTAAAGATAATACTGTTCCATTCCTGATCCTAGGGTGACCGTTGTCTGCACCACTCAAGGCGATTACGTCGGTGTTCTCGAGTTAAAGGGAGGACCCAGTGTTTCCGGTATGAAAACAAGCCAAAACTTCTCATTTGTCGGTAAACACTTCGCATGCCAATAGGTCTTCCGTGTTCTGCAAACCATTCATTTGCAATGGACCTGGTAGTGGAGAAACGGTCCCTTGAGGCCAATAATCTTAGGCGGCGATCTTCACGGTCTGTTGTTCTACGGCGGCGTCCAGTGCCCCTTGCTCTTTGCGTACGGCCTTCTCGAAGCCATGCCTGACAACACCTAACCACAGTGTCTACACTTCTATGCACTCTAACTGCAATTGCCCGAAGAGAAAGTCCAGCTTCCCAAAGTCCCACTATACGGCCCCTATCAAACTCACTAAGTTGACGAAATCGCACAGGTCTCCGTACTCTAGGCATCGTAACCGATCGTAAAGGATGTCAAGAACCAAAATCCGCCAACGTTGATTCTTTACTGCGACTGAAATATTCATTTTTAGAGCGTTAGTGAATTAAAAAAAAGCAGTATAAAAACCGGAATGTCCAACTGATAAGGCTGAAAATTTTATCGCTTGTTATTTACAGTAAGATAAATACATTCACCAACTCTTATTAAAATAAAACCATTTAAACTGGGTGTTCGGATTTATATGTCACTTAGTATATTTAACGCAAATATTAGGAACATTATGTTAAACAATCCCTTCTATGCAGTTTCAGAATATTGTTGTTGTTTGAATACTATACGTGATTTATTTACCACTGATGCTTTTAATTTGTATATGTGTATTTTTGTTGTTTGTGGAATTTTATGTGTTGTTTATTTTTTAATGATTGTTATATACATGATCAGACAATATTTGTAAAGCTACTGAAGTTGTTTCTTAATGACAACTCTGATACTATAATTGTATAGTCGTATGGAATATAAATATATATTATACTTTGTTGTATTTATATAATTTATAATTTCAGTTTGAACCCAAGCACAAGCGTATACCTTTTTGGGTATCTTATACCGTCATTATTTATACGAAAACTTTGCAGTTAGACCAATAAACATTATTATTATTGTCATTAGAGCCAAGTCTCATAGCATTTTATGTAAATGAATAAATGCCCCCTAATAATTTCGAAAAATTTCGAAAATGAGATATTGAGTTTGTTGGATATTTTATGACATGTAAATCACGAAAAGTATGCCACTCATTTTCTTCGGAATGTCCGTTGACCATTGACCCCTCTATGACTTCGAAAACATCGCTTGGGTTTTGAGGAAACTTTCACATGAAGTTACCACTATGTCAAGGATAAAACACTGCTCGAAAATCGGTCCAGTAGCGATCGAGATAGGGGCAAAAAATAGAAAAATAAAAATTGCTCACACATTGTTGTCAGTTCCAGAGACACCTGCTCTAAAATTAGACATAACATGAACAAATGACTACATAAAATATTTTAACTTGCTAATTGCCTTTCTTACTGCTGTGAGCGACGGTGAAAAATGGGAATGCCTTCTCAGCCTTTTGGAGTGTTGTTATTTTCTATATTTATCCCTATTTTGTATAACTGCTCTAATAAACATTGAACAACGTTTGATGCAGTTTTTGTTGATTCTTCAAAATGACTTCCTGCTGAGTAGGATTGTGCAAAGAAATCTAGTCATAATAGTAGAGTGAAGATACTTTCTTGCCTATTTAAAAAATGTTCTCCATTCAAGCACAGCAAGCTTTGATAACTTTACATTTAAACGTTGTAGAAGTCCTAGCACAAGATACTGGAACAAAGAGGAAAAGCCTATCACTCCCAAAAAGGTCGCTACCTCTCGTGACGTGTTACGTAGAGTCGTAGACGACAGTTCCACAACCACATCCGGCAGCTCGTCAGGTTCATCGACTGTAATATCCTGGCTTTACTGGAACGAAAAACCCTTTTCCTGTGACCTTTGTACGAAGGCAAACAGGACGCCAACGATGTCGATCGTCTCCGGCGGCTTTTTGCTGTCGCACGTTCCTCACTGGGACTGGGAAATCCAATTTGGTGGCGAAGGGCGAACGCTTTATTTTACACCCAAGCTGCTCTCTCTCTGCTCTACGACCAGCCTTGATTTTCCAGAAGTATTTTTAAACCGGAACGTCAATCTGTACTATTGTAGATTCAACCTTTACATGATTATGTATGAGGAGAAGCAAAGCTTATTTTGCTCCCGGGCTGGATTGCAATGGATATTATCCGGATTTCAAGGAGAACATTGATTTCTACAATATAGGTACAGAACTTTTAAATTTAATGCATAAAGTCTATATAAACATGGGTCGAAAAATGCGTGGCTTCCGAAATACAGGGTGTTTAAATTAACTTTTTTAAATAGTTTTTTTTTTTAATATTTCGAACAATATTTGATGTCTAACAGTGAACGTTGGTATTCAAGGGTTTTTTGGTACGACAAAACGAACCATAGTTTTACTGTAGCCGCTAGAGGGCGCTCTCTACTGTACCTGTAGTGTATTAAAATGACCGAAATTTTTTTTCTTAGTGCAATTTTTGCCTTTTTGAATAAAAAAACTGATTCTTCGCACTTTTCAACATAAACAAGCTCTCCTGTGTATTTTCGTTATAGTTAGCCGTTTTTGAGATATTTCGATTTTTAATGCATTTTTCATTATTTATGGGAAAATAATATTTTTTTACATTTTAGATTTGGGCATTACAAGTAATTAAGATGATCGTTTAGATTGTGTTTTTAAACACAGCAATAATTCCTAACTCCAAATAAACACAAAAAAACAGAATATTAATATGTTTAATTTTCCAATATTATTTTTAACAAATTAAATTACTTATTTACAACTGAAATACTATTGGATAGTTAGGACAAACATACAAAATCTAAAGTAGTTGCTCGAAATGTAAACCCAATTGTTCAATACACAATTCACA